TAATACCTGAGTGGATTTCAACCAAATTTGGTCTAATGTATCATTAGGGATGGTTAATCACATTTTTTTAGATTCAGAAAGTTGATACATGTATAACCAAAAGGGGAATGTTGTTAAAATTTGGCTTTACACCTCAGCTAATTTCAAACAACCAGTTTTTAAATTCCGAAAGTTGATGGGCCCTATTTGACATGGAGGTGAGATCCCGAATGGAGAAATAAGCTGTAATTTTACTTTTAAGACTTATCTTCCTTGCAGAGGGCAGTCATTTCTTGAATTTACAAAGTTGATTTTATTGCTACAGACAGAGGGAAGGGACATGAATAGGTAATCTTGCTAGAATTTGCTTTGAAACTATTTTTAAAATTCAGAAATTGATTAGAGGGGTGACCAATGCTAGTATTCCTTAAACTTAAGTGGATTTTAACAAAATGTTGAAAAACATCACTTTTGGATGGCAATAATATCCTTCTGAATTGGATGATATGATTGTCAGATGACTATTAGGGCCCATGGGCTTGTGGAAATTTTAATGAAATGATTTTTTCACTTCTAACCCTTTATATGTTGGCAAATTTGTTCTTTTCTCTTCTTTACCACTTTTCTGTTTTCATTTTCCTTTTTTCTTAAAGCCATTTAATCTAGTTTTGAATAATTATTTTTATAAGGAACTACGAAGACTTGGCATGCCAAAACGTCCAGTGACTGCCTTCTTTCTATATATACGAGCAAGTCAGATGGAGCGAGGCAACACATTACCTGCTGTAAGTTGCTACATGTTCACATGTGAACAGGAAGAGTTTTTTTCACATAATTTGAGATCTGGTGGTAGAAAATTACAAATCATAGCTCTTATTGCATTTTACGTAATTGTGTCATATATTATCAGAAGAAATAATGATAATTCATTTTATGGAGTAGAAACTTTATATTTTTCGTTTGTGCTAAGCACTTATGGAACATTTTGAAGTTTACACCCCATCAGAAAAAAGATAACTGTTATTCATTAAGAAATAGGATTATTCTCTCAGTGCTACAACATGAAGTTAATACCTATAGCAATTTTTAAGGTCATTAGTATGTGAAGGCATGGAGTAAACATGATTGATGTTTCCAGGTACCATTATCAAGTTCAACATAACAAGTCATGTTCAAAATTCAAATTCTTATTTTGTATTTCTAAAGCATGTTTTTTTTTACTCAACTTAAAAAGAACATGATCCCAGAACATAACATAGTTAGAAACTCTGGTTCATAAAGTGAAGAAGGAAAAAAAGAATAACGTAAAACAAGTCTGGTTACATCACTTTTATAATTTTGTTTACTTTCAGGATTTTGCAAAGGAGCTTGCTTCTCATTGGTTTGAAATGAGTGATGAAAAGAAACAGGTAATTTCATCAATATCATCTGAAGTGTCTAATTGATAAATCCAGTCATTTTGGCTGTTCCACATTTGAAATTGTATTTTTATGTTCTTTTCAATAGTTGTTAAGAAAACCCATTTGTCCTGAATCGGCATAACTGGGCTATTTCCATTATAGCCAGAATAAAATTCAGTTTAATTTGTGTTTATAATGACCTTTTTTTTAAAAAGAAGTCATTCCATACAAATTGATGAAAAAAGGAATTATTTACTTCTGTTGTCAGGTTTTCTTTAAAGAACAGATGAAAGAAAAGGAAAGATATCTCGAGGACATGATGAAGTGGAGAGCTAGTCTAAACAAGGAGGAAGTTATCTTTGTAGAAATGGCTGAAAAAGTCCTAAAAGGAACTGCAGAAAAAGAGCAGAAAGCAGCAGCAAAATTGATTGCAAAAAAACGAAAGGAAAAGGAGAAATTAGCCAAACAGAAGCAAAAAGAGAAATTAGCCAAACAGAAGAAAAAAGTGAAGGAAGAATGAACAGAAAGGGAAAAGTGAAGGAAGAATGAACAGAAAGGAAAAAGAGATTGTAAATAGAAGGGAAAAAAAGATACTAGCCAACAAAAATAAAAGTTTGCTGAACAATAAATAAAGATAAAAACCAAAAAAAGGACCAGTTAAAAGCAGAAATAATCAGTGCAGGAAATTGAATACAAAGGAAAAGTAAACCGAAACATGGAGTGAGATGAGAACAGTTATGAACCAGCAGTGAAAAATATCTAATTCCTGAATTAGCAGCTGATGTGAACCAATTCCCTGCTATTAGATTAGCATTCATTGTTACTATCTCACCTGCCAGAAGGGCAAGTAAGCTTATGCTTATGCTATTCTGCATCATTCATTGTTTGTCATTCATCAGGCATCAAGTTCTCTATTCAAACAGCTTCTTCCCAATAACGAAGAGGCACAGAACTTAAGTAGTAGCATGTTTGAGGAATAGTCTTTCAAGTTTGCAGAAATAGACTTCTGTCGACTTAAATCTTTTATGAAAGCTGCAGATAAGGTGAGCATATTGTTTGCAGAAATAGACTTCTGTCAACTTAAATCTTTTATGAAAGCTGCAGATTAGGTGGGCATATTGTTTGCAGAAATAGACTTCTGTCAACTTAAATCTTTTATGAAAGCTGCAGATAAGGTGAGCACTCAGGGCCAGTGGGCCTGTTGTATCTCTAGGAATACTTAAATCAACTTTGAGTAAAATCTTTAGAAAACTGAAGTTTTTGTTATGCTTTACAGGGTTTTCCATAAGAGCCGGTCGCCGGCCAATTTGACCGGCTACTTTGATCATTTGGCTGCCTACACCAATCCAGTTCCATAATAATGTTCCATACACGACTACACGTACCTGGCAGGCCAGTCTCCTACTTACACTACACAGCCCACTTCTAGCAAAATTATGGAAAACCCTGCATTATAATGTTAATCATGATATTTTTCAAATAAAATCATATATCAAACCCATACATGTTTTGAATTTAATTGCTAACATGCATGCTCAACCCATTCTACATTCTGCTTGGCCGTTTCAGTAATTTGGTTTTTATGGTCATCTGACTGTAAAGATCCCCCATCTGGTTTTTTATCATAAAAACATACAGCATGACTTTCTGTTTGAACATTTTGATGCCTTCTAACCATTTGTATATTTGTATTGTTTTCATTATAATAAATTCCTGCACCCCCGGACTGTTAAGGTTACTGCTACACTATCTGATAGTGAAATAAAGAACAGTAAATATGGTTTGTCAGATTGTGTCAGAGTATTTTCAAATTATCACTTTGACATTTTAAGGTCAAGGTCACTATTTCTATTTGAAGAAAATTGTTGTGAGCAATCTAGTGGTGTCATTCCATGAAGAAATATGGTAAAACTTGAGGCATATGGCCATCTTATTTATCATTTTATGGAAGGAATTAAACTTTCTTTCTGTTCATCAGAAGTAGCAAGTAGCAAATTTTTCTACTAATTTTGATTGAGTAAAAGTAATTTGTTTTTGTAGTACTCAGTGCAAACAATTGAAGTAATTTAACAAATAAGCCTTCGTTGACATTGAATATTGGTCACAGCCATTTCTTTTCATATATTGTAAACTCTTTTTTTGATAGGTAAATACGTAGTTCTATACAGAAGTTCTTTAATCACAAGTAAGAAATCAATGTACTTTTGACTCCTGACTTGTCACAGGAATTGCATGATTTATAGTCCTTATACTACACTAGATGATTAAGAAAGTGATGTAAGAATCATTTGACAGATCATGGATGGCAAGACAACAGATGTCGCCTTTCTACAAAGTTACCAGGAAATACACTAAAACCTGATTTGTGTAGTTCTTTGTAAGGGAAGTTCTTTCTTCAGTGTTAACGAGAGAAATCTTTTATTTGGTTCTCAAATGGTTAAGATGAACGTAACAACTTTGTCCTGGATAGATCAGCTTTAATCAACACTAGTTTCGATGTATGATCTTTCGAGTGGTGTCAGCAGCAAATCTCTAAAGTACAAGTTTTAATGAATCAAACTGAACTTTGGTCATTTTAGTAATTGTGTAAATCCAGCCATTATTCCACAAGCTATCAACCTTACAATACCAAGTTCATGAGATATCATAATGTGCTCAATACCATTCCATTTGTTCCAGGGCATGGGACTTCATTGTCATATAATTAACATCTAGTACATGGAACAGTCTATTCCCGTAACCAGCCCTCATTGATATTCCTGACATCATTTGTTTATGTACTATGTATTATGGCATTGTCATTGCTTTTGTTGGGACTATGCAAGGCACCACATTCTATACATTATACCTGTTTATATTTCAAGTTTGTTCTGAAGATGACGCATCTAATGTGTCGAAACTAGTCCACATTCTTGATCAATGCTGATACCGTTTGATTATGAACTTGAACTTGAACAGGCGAACATAAATGTTCCTAGCGGAATCTGTCAGCCTGGCAACACAGAACTCTATTGCACTTTGAACACAGATGTTGGATGCTACTCTCCTGATATTATTGGGCAAGTTACTGTCATTCTATAGAAATAGGTTGTCACATCATTTTTAGAAGGTTCTGACTTCCCCTCTTACCCAGTTTATAGGACAGGCGCTCTATTTCTTCATATCAATATTGCAATAAGCCCAGGCAGCAAACACAAAACCTTTGACTTAAAAACACACAGGCTGGTTTTGGCATGGTCATTTTGAGGAGAGGGATGGGGGTGGAAGAGGGGGGGGGGGTGTCTCCTTATGGCTACCTCATGCCAGAGGCAGTGACATACAAACTAGAGAAATTACAATTACTGTAAAGTGTCTTGCCCATGGACACAATTTCATTCACCCCAAAATGTTTAAAACGTAACTTCACCATAAAATTTGACCTTCAACCCAAATTTTATTTTTTCCCCACTGACAACAGTGGTAAAAATGGTAAAAGTTTCCATGTACACTTAAATTTTACAGTTTGTCTTCATTATTTGTCAATTTGTTTTCAGTAGGCCTATATATAAATATACATTGAATACAGGAAATAACTAACTTGGTCTATACAGGATTCCAGACCAGACAGAAACTCAACAATAATTTTCAATTTTGGCAGGTTATTTTTAATGTGCTATGTAAGCTAAAATCAGTTACTTTAATTTGAACACATTATACACAAAATAGTAAAAGTTTACAGAGTTCATAAGTCAGTAATCAAATTTAAATTTCATTACGGCTTAGATCATTTTGGTAACGACAATTCTATATTGTATAGGATTAACTATTGAAAACACATACAAACACTTTAAACTGTTTGGTCAAAAAAAGAAAAAAAAAAAAAAAAAGAAAGGACTGTCTTTCATTTTAAACTAGTTTTAACATTAATCACTGTTGTCCAACCTTTCTTGACAAAATTCTCTGTGACAATCACAAAACAAATCAAGAGCTAGCTGAACTTGAAACACTTTCTGATGATAGTATTGAATTTATCAACCTTCGAAATATTCAATAACAACAAGCTCAGGTTTTTTTTTATAAAACATAACACAAAAAAATAATTGTGGTATAAGCTAGTCAGGTCAGCCACTTAAAAAAATTCCATTGGTTTCTGAAAATAAAAAAAAATTCGGCAGATGTTTTTTTGTAAACATATTGATATGGCAATAATGCAAGCATAAGCATTTTTATTTTTTGGGGGGGGGGGCATGTGGTCCCGATAATATATGTAAAAATGTATATAGTAAGTACTTCTTTAATACAGTGGAACCAATCTCTACCAAGCAATTTAGGAACTTTCTTTTCTAGAATTGTAAAAAATACACATCAATATACAAAAATACCGAAATGTTTCAGAATATATGTATCTAACTATATTTAAACCATTGAAACCATAGGAACAGGTCTCTACTGATCACTCCAGATACAATGACGAACTCTTAATATCTATATCAAAGAATTCTCAGACCAACTTTTTAGTTACTGGTCTCCATTGTTTTGTCTTGAAAACATCACCATGACAAACATGAGTAAAAAAGACTTTTTTTTCAAAATTAAGAGATTAAGTTCATCCACACATTTCATTCAAATCTAGACTAATACACCATGTAATTTCAAGGAGTTTCCTGACGATAGTCTTTCCTACTTAATTTAGCTCATAATGGAGGTTCATATATATATATAAATATCTTTATTACAAAATAACCATTATGATGCCTCTTGTGTGATAAGCATATTGCTGAAAAAGAATGCAAACAGGTAGATTGAGAAGTCCTCGTATATTCCAGCTATGTTGCCCATGATTTTATTGTAGGTGAGAATCATCTCTTGTTTTAATCCACACAACATCAAGGCACTCGACAATGCTGTTCCTTTGTAGGGGATATCCTGAAACCGATCAACAATGTACAGTTCAGTCAGATACATAAATTCAAAGAATATTTATCAGTCTTATGCAATCATCAGTCTTATGCATCTTATATGTATCTTCCCACAATAGTATTACCTATTTCTGTCAGATCCTTTTCTGATAAATATCGTACCTGGAGAACCTTTAAACTGATCTGGCTCATATTTACACTACAGCATCATATCATCAGAAACAAACATATTGTAGATATATCATAATCCATCAATTTTTTTTATATCAAGTGTGACCACTGACCACCAAAATCTTATCAGGCAAAACATACTTTAACTTATGAACAAAGCTTAATTTGAAAATCTATGCTCTGTCATATCTATGTTTAAACAAAAACTGTTTTGATATTCTATATCATTATGTAAAGGATTGTAAGTCCTTGACCTGTCTTCACTTACCTGAATGAAATGATGAAACAAGATATGAAACAGAGATTTATTACAAATTAACTGTATACACTGTATTTAGTGGTTATAAAAGTTTAATAACTTTTTACCTTAACAAATGTCATCCGGTAGTAATACAATGCTCCTTGCAAAACTGCAAATGGTAAAATGATCGTCTGAAATGGAAGGCAAACAGACTTGAAATTAAAGGACGAAGGAACTCTAATGAAAATACTCTACATATTAACCTGTTCAAAAAATCTTCAATGTTTTTTGACAAACAATATGTAAAGATGAAAATTAAAAAAAGGCAAGAAACTTTCTTCATTTTCATCAATAATTAATACTGTCATGTTTTTTTTTTTTTGCTTTTTTTTTTTTAAAAGTTGAGCACATCTATTAAAAGGTCTCCAATGGTATTTTTGTGTTCAATGACGTAAGAAATATACCAGTTTATGTACTTCCATGACTGCAGGTTGTATTATACTTTACACTCATTTCAAGAGACATACTTGGGTGGATTTAATAATGAAAAATGAATTAACAAACATCATGCTAAACTTGATAAATTGATGCAAATTATGTTCAGCCAGGGAAATCACTATTGGAAGTACAAAAGTTGCATTAATCCTTTTGTTACACCTAAGTATTTAAAAACTGGTTTGATTTAATAGGTGATCCTTCTCATTTTTCCTACATGGTTATAACATATGATCTTGCTTAGATGTGCATGGATCATTTGAAGGATACAATTGAAATTCCTGAAATCACTGCACTTGCTAAGGTCATTTTTAGCATCAGTATAGTTAAATACATTGTATGTACATACATGTATATATTTTATCATAATCCTCTAATCCAACATAATGCTCCAAGAACCAACTTCCTTACCTTGGATATACAAACACTGATTTCCAGATTTCACAGAAGGTAATGTCATGATAAACACCTACTCTAGCTACATTTCTATTATTCATTGTCATTGCCATCTGTTGAGTAATAACACATGTCATGTATTAAATTGAAGACTAATTATGATCCTTACAATTTAACATTGACTGAACTGGTATCATAAAATGCAGGTTACTTAAAGCACCTTTTAACATTTACCTGAAAATATAGTAGACCTATCCCCAATTGAAGTACAACTCTGGACAGAACCGCTATAAACACACAACCAACCAGTCTTAGGAGGTTAAATTGCTGCTGTGGTGATCTCTGTGAAGTGGATTCAGGTTTTGAGTTTTCTACAGATGCTGGCTCTTGACTGATTTTTTTATTATCTGTCAATAATGAGGATTGTTGAATTTTGACAGTGTTTCTTGTAGCTCTGTGTCGTACACCATCTGTATCGGATTGTGAAGAATGAAGCCTTTCCGAGGTTGTCATGCTTGGCAGGGTTGTATTTCCTTCTGTTCCAATATTTATAGTATTGCCAAGGATGTGAGCTCCCCGGTCTGGTTCTCTGATCTTATTACTAAGCTCATTTGGTATACTAGCATCTTCTTTTTTTATTTGTTCAGCAACTGGAACATTATCATTTGAATTGATTTCCTGTGCTTGTTCGGAAACAATCAAATTTTTTGCGAGACTGTCTGTTTCTGTTGAATCATTTCCTGAAAATTCAAAGAAAACTGACATAAATACTGATATTACCTACATCAAATTACTGATATGTATTCAGTATGAAAGAGAATTAGTTTTGATAAGAATAATTACATTTTGTCTATGCTAAAAGCCTGTAATGGTACACAAAACTACCAATCATCAGTTCTATTTCACAATTGGCTTATATAGACTAGTAATTGGGTTTTACAATTATGGAATAAATTAAGCTTTTCATATTTCCATCATCTATTTCAAGCAGAGATGTTACATGTAAAATATTTGTCCATATGCAAAAATTTCCATATCAGCAAGATGATTACATATGGATTTAAAAATTTGTTCTTTATCTACAATATTAAGATATGAAGACTACACTAAAAACAAAAAAAAAACAAATGTTACCTGAGAACATTCATTATTATATTTGTCAGTGTTTGTTGATCAAACTTTGTATTATATATCATTATGCAAAAACTTCAGCAAACAAAACTGTTTAAATAACAAGAGATCTTTGCTCCCACCATTGTTTGATCTTAATATGCTCTTTTAAAATTGGATCTTTTCCCTTCTTTTCTCTTCTCATCTCTGTTTTTGCTCTTAATGATAAGACATTTGAACATTCCTTTGCAAAAATAATTGATAATCTTTACTGCCAATTCCAAAATGGCCACCTGGAAGCCATTTGTTTCTTCTGATCAGTCCCAAAAGCAAACGAGCACAAGGAGAGATCAAAGGAAACATACATATGAAACTTCAGAGATATCCATTCAGAAATAGCAATAACAATCTTTACTAAGCAAAATCCAAGATGGCTGTCTGTCGGCCATTTTTTTTCCTGATCAGTCCCAAACTTAAAAAGGCACAACAAGGGACCTACAGAACCATATACATGAAATTTGAGAAAGATCTATACAGTAATTCTCAAGAAATAGTGATAACAACCTTTCAAAGTAAAAATCTAAGATGTCTGTCTGTCCACCATTTAGTTTTTCTGATCCATCCCAAAATCAAATAGGCAAAACTAGGGACTAAGGGGAACCCACATATGAACTTTAAGAAAGATCCAATAAGTACTTCTCAAGAAACAGTAATAACAAACTTTCAAAGTTGAAATACAAGATGGCCACTTGTGAGCCATTTTGTTTTTTTGATCAGACCCAAAATCAAATGGGCACAACTAGGGACCAAAGGGAACCTAAAAATGAAAGCGAAGGAAAATTCATCACATACTTCTCAAGAAATAGCGATAACAATCTTTTAAAGACAAAATCCAAGATGGCCACTTTTCAACCATTTTGTATTTCTGATCAGTCCCAAAATTACATGGGCACAACTAGAGATCAGGGGAAACTACATTTTAAATTTGAGAGAGATCCATCCCTTCCTTTTCAAGAAATAGCAATAACAAACTTCATTGAAAAAATCCTCCAAGATGGCTGCCTGTCAGCCATTCTTTTTTTTTGTGATCAGACCCAAATTCAAACAGGCGAGAGACCACAAGGAACCTACATATGCAGTTTGAGAAAGATCCATCTAGGACTTCTTAAGAAACAACGATAGAAAAAAATGTTACAGACGGATGGACGACAGACGTAGAGCAATCTGAATAACCCATCTTCTGATGATGGTGGGCTAAAATTATCATATCAATGGAAAATTTAATTTAAACTTTAATTATTTTAAAACAATTGCAGAACAAGTCATCGGCTTATATCAATCACTCAAAAGGAAGCATGCAGGGGGTCTTTCTATGGGTGGAAATCAAGAGTACCCAGAGACAACCCACATGGTCGGCCACGTGACCCTATACCTTTTCCCATCTGTTCCAGAAATCGAACAACGAACAGCTAGGTGAAAGGAATGTGCCTTCTCAAAGTGGAAAATTCACATCAACATATCGTGAGTAACAGGTATATTCAATTATACATGTATGTTCATCTCCAAATACACAATTGTGGTAAGAACAGCTCTTGCTGTTATGAAATAAGTTGATAATATGTAACATGGAATATGATTATACAGATGTTCAACATATATACTCAGCTCCAAGTATGTGCGTGTGACAACAAGAGGACCATGCAGATATCCAGAACTTCTTGATAAAATGTATGAACCCCAGCGACAATTCAGCAGTAAAGGCATATCAACTATATGACTCAAACGTTTTTGAGTTTTTTTTTCAATAAGAATTTCTATATCACATACATGCTTTGATTCCCCATATGTCGTATGGAAATGTTACTACAGTACATATTTGCAAGACTCGTACATTGTTGCACCATTTTAGGCTGAAATGTGGCATTATGAAAAATCATGGCCAAAGCAATGTGATGTGATTGAGTTTTACCTGATTTCAATCAAAATATGGGTAGATACAGAAAAAGTATTTAGATATAAGTTTGAACTGAATTTTGAAACATGACATTGGTATCAGGTTGTAGAACAGAACTTTAAATCCATGCATGAAATTCCCTAAGATAGGGAAATAATACTCTCTGCACACCTGTGTCTGTTTCTTTACGTCCATACAAAATATTCATACGCTTTTCGCGATTTTGCAGTATTTTTCTATTCCTTGCTTCTCTTCTTGCTTGAAGATCCGCCATTTTTAAATTATGGTAGGCTATGTGTTTTGTTTCGGATTATCCTTAATACAATTCAAATTCATATTCCGAATCGTCTGTTAAATAATTGAATATCTTTGAAAGGGTTTTCAGCAGATACAGACAATGTTGTTTCTCTTTTTTATTAGTTTACGAAAATATCGCCGATATTTTTTAATTGCTGACTTCCGCCATATTTCAACTTTCATTTTGTGAACTTGCCGTCAACATATGCCTGTCAAACACTTTCGATGAATAGTGATATCAGACACCATCTCACCGTAATAACCTCTATTACTATGGCTAGCGATTTGACATAACAAATTTTATTTTCAGTATCCGGCGATTTCATAGGCCTAGCCCACAAGGAAAGTTTCTGTTTGAGGTTTATCACCACGCCAACACCAGCATTGACAACTTGCTGGAAAAGTATAAACATGTCAGATGCTATACACTCACATTCCCTCAGTCATGTATTGAAGAAACTTCTTGCTGGAGGTATGTTCCATTTTCTGAAGTTTGTTAGTCTATATGAATGTGGCAGTGATCTTTTTGTGTCTTTCATTCCTCAGTTTACTTAAAACTGGGTAACAGCTGGAGGTTTATCATACTGAACAGTCAAACTTGCACTAGGCCCACTTGCAATTAAAATCTAATTGAGAAAACACATTCCTGCCAAATGCCTGGACCTGATTCGAACATGGGTCTCTGCTTTGATTATCCCCAACTCTACCAACAGAGCTAAAGAAGAGTATAAGTAATAGAGACCTTATTGGTACTATGTACAAGGCAACACTGACTCATTCCTTTATCACTCATTCTGTTTAATGTTTTTTTTTATGTAAACAAAGACACCTTACAGGTCTGACTTAAGGGAACATTTGTACTACTGACTTTAATGATGATGATGATTAATTTGCACTGGCAGAAACTAACATTAGACTAAATAATATTATGTATACACAATTTACAAGCTCTTATATACTTGAAGAGTACTGATTCCCAAGTCGCCATGTTCATATATACATTTTGTACTGTAAGAAAACCCACAAAGATTGAGCAAATGCACATTTGAAAATTAGCTAATTAGCAGTGGAGGAAAAGCAGTGTTTTTATCATATAAATGAATTATTGAACATTAGGAATCAGCAATACTTTTCCAATGTATACAATTGACAGCTTAATGAGGATACCACATGTGAAAGGAAGCATTACTTGAGAGAGAAAAGTTTGTTGTATCCATAAAATAAAATAAAGCAAATAACTTGGAATTTAAAGAACAGCATAACTTTGACTGAATTTAAAATTTCCTTAGTGAAACATAACATTAAATGTCACAACACTTGATTTCCAGATGGAGGTCTCCCTGAGGAGAGTATTAACTCATTTAATTGAGAGCATTAGAGTGTTTATAGCTGAAGACAGTCATTTGATATTTCTAAAACATTTTGATCTAGACTGACATTTTTTAATTCATTAGTTATAATATATATGAGTAATATATTTTTTTTTCTTTTTTTTTTTTTCATGGCTTCTTCTTGAATAATATATAGAAGTGGTAGTCCTGATATTTGAAAACCAGAAGTAAATGTGTCCTCTGCAGATCCAGTGCTTTAAAATCACCTTATGTAAAAGTTACCTTGACCTACTTTCAAGGTTATTGGAGCTAAACATATTGAAAACTAAAGAATCCTCAGAAATTTCGGAACAACCAGGATCCTGATATTCAATCAATAGGATGAATGTTGTACATTATCAGCATATGAATTACCATGACTCGCTTTCAATGCTATGGAATCAATGTAAAAATCTAAAGATCTAGATCTGTTGGTGAAATTCCTGAAGACCCAGAGTCTTATTATCAATGATGACTTTATTTTACAACCACAGGTATCAAATACATGTGTGTTAAAGAAAAGAATCTTCTTCTAAAGTGCAAGAAAACATAGGGTCATGTTAAAAGGCCCTTAGATGTCTTGAATGATGTGTTGTTTAGTTCATATAGAGGCTTTGACTTATTTCCTGATTGAAAAGCTTTACTGTTTAGCTGGTAATATTCATAGGGAATTTAATGTTACTATATTCTCTGCGAACTACCTAGAAGAAGCCCAGACCGGGATAACCATAAAATTTTAGTCCAATGAAATTAAACAACTTGGTATACAAAAGCAATCATTGTTAATCATATCATTTCTAATATACTTGGCACCTTGTGCACAGATTATGGAATACAAAAAAAGATATTACAGTACTATTGTTACCTTCACAAACAGTTGTCTTTCTTATAAAGCAAGATATGGACTCAAAACAGTCATACAGCATGCAGGTCTATAAACAATATATATACAAATATGAAGACCCACAAGAAAGTGATTAGAATAATTAAAAATTAGAAACATTTTTCACTTTGATATCTATGTGAGACAAACATGCCATCTGGGACTCTTGTTTGATATAAAAAATTTTTTTAAAGAACTTTTTACATCATTAATTGTAGGTGCTGCTGGCTGTTGTGCTAAAACTGCAGTAGCCCCTCTGGACAGAATTAAGATCTTGCTACAAGCGCACAACCACCATTATAAACATTTAGGTAACTATAATGATGATTTAAGTTATTTTCTGTTCATATATGCTGAAACAAATAGTAGTTATTATCTGTTTGTAATATAATATTTGTCATGCTTCAGAGTATATAAAATTATTACATTCTTAGACACATAATTTTAGTAATTTTTTTTCCAAAGAAAAAGCAGAGGAGAATAGATAGACTTTCAAGAAGGTTGAGGTCAGAATGGACCAATAAGCTTTTGTCTTACTGCTTAGGACAATTCTCTGGTTGTTCGTGTCAAATATCGTTCATTATGATGTGTTTTTAGGTGTAATTTCCTCATTACAACAAGTTAAAAACAAAGAAGGCTTCTTCAGCTTGTACAAGGGGAATGGAGTTCATATGCTCAGGGTGTTTCCATATGCTGCGATCCAATTCACTTCATTTGATCTTTTCAAGAAGGTATGATTTTGATTAAGTGATGGTGATATAGTTGAATTCCTTATGCAGATTTTTAATGAAGCTTCTGATGCAAATATTATTATATTTTATGTATGGCTGTCATAATTAGATTTAAATTGATATTTGTTTTCTACTATAGCTCACTTTTTATAACAAATCACAATTTTTATATAAAGTTATGATGATGATTTGAATACATATACTTGTATGCCACAACAGGGGTTAAGACATATATACAGGGATGGCAATGTGCACCTGATACGACTGACGTCTGGCTCTCTGGCAGGTACGTATTGTGTGTATATATATATATGTTATCTGGTAGGTAATATCAACGGTATGGTCCAGTATTGGTATTTGATCCTAACAAACAAATTTTTGATAGATGCATATTACTGGAATAGACATATGGTCAATGAAGTAATGACAATAGTTTGGAAAACAAATTATCTAATTTTCAAGACAATCTGACCCGTTATTAAGTTATGTATATGTAAATTATGTAATATTGTTTGTGTCTTGATAAAGGGGCAGATTGTCTCGAAAATTTGACAATTTACTTGTTTGTGCCATTGTTATTACAAAGGGCTTAAATCACAATTACTAGGAAATACAAAGAATTATGAAGTGTTCTTTGTTCGAATATTGCATGCATCCTTCTTCAGTTAACATCTCTTTACGGCTGTTTATATTGTGATAATGTAAATTTCATCTCTTTGTTGACTGTGGCCAGACTAGTTCTGTAGGTGAATTTGATGGTTGGTTGGAATGAGTTCAGGGATCTAATAAAGAGGTATAGTTGCTAGCTGATATGGGTTAAAAAATACATATTGAAATAACAATTACTGTAAAGCAACCATATCATAGTGTAGTGTAGGACTAGAATCTTCTCAGGGTGGTTCTAGGAACTGTAGATGTGTGTTGTGGGAGTCATGTTGTTACAAGAACATTTTGTAAGTTAAGTTCTAGATGACTTTAGGTTCTGCAGGCTTTGATAATTGATTTTCTGGTCCATCACTGGTATTAGTGATGTCTGTAGTGGTGTTGTAATTATCAGATCTTTTTAAGTTGGAATTAGTTGGCTATTGGTTCATTTTGGCTCTTTTCTGGAATGCTGATACCTTGTGGTAGGAGAAATGGAACAGAGAATATTTCTGATGTTGATAGACAGAGGTCGGCCTCTGTTTAAACTGCTGTTTGGTATTGGACAGTTCTAATGAAGAATGCAGCTAAGGGTTCTCTCAAGGATACAACAGTAGAAATGGAACTTTGTTGGGACAGTCCCATAATGACTTGGAAAATCACACTTCAACAGAAAATTATTACAAACTGTCTTTAAAAAGCATATTTTGCTGAGTTTGAAATATGGTTCAATGATCTTTAATCTATACCTAGTACATATTTACATGGTCATGTGACAGGTCAGCTCATTATCTGCAGTTTATAGCAATACACAATGCAGAAGTTTTATTTGTTTTTCTACATAAAATTATATTTTGTTTTGTGTTCTAAAGAGATATAATCACAAAAAAAATTAGATTATAACTAGAGAAAATATTGATAGAAGTCTGTTAAGCCTTGACAGTATTTGTCATCATTTGTTGTAGGCTTGACGGCAGTACTGTTCACATATCCTCTAGACGTTGTGAGGGCCAGACTAGCATTCCAGGTGTCAGGAGAGCATATCTACACGGGTCTGGTGGATGCCTTCCGCTCCATTACATTTCATGAGGGTGGTATTCCAGCCCTGTATCGAGGCATGGTACCCACACTACTTGGCATGGTGCCCTATGCTGGTATGTTCAGATCATACTTTGAAAATAGTCAGAAATTGGATTTTATTTCACTTTCTTTTTTGTCTGGTGTCAGTTGAGTGATTGAGCTATATTTCATAAAAGTCATAATGTATTTTTATTTTGTAATTGTTGGTCAGTCATAAAAAATATTTCAAATTTACAATGTTGAATAGATTAAAAAAAAAAAAAAATAAATTATTTCTATGGTATCTGTGATATGTATTATTTTTAAGGTGAGCATGTTAAAGCTTCACGCTGAATTTCTTTTCCTGAGTAAAGTAGATATTGATCTGAGTTACTTATTTCAGTAATTAAGACATAACAGAAAAATAACAAAAAATTTTAATTAGTGAAAAAATATCTGTTGAAAATAAAACTTTTGGTTCTTTAAAAAAAGTCTCTTATTTCACTTCAGATTTTATTTCTTTGCATGAAATGATTTTGTCTTTATTTCAGGAATATCATTCTACAGTTTTGAGACATTGAAAGAATTATGTTTGAAGTATTTTCCTCAGCACTTTGCCCGCTCTAGCAACAATAATTCAGATGCACTGGTACTGATTACACCAGCCAAAATTATTTGTGGAGGGTTTGCTGGAGCTATAGGACAAACATTGGCGTAAGTATAGCTGCATGTGGTGTTGACAATAAATAAATTAATTAATTAAAAAAATGATGAAATTTAATAAATAAATGAATAAAATAAAAATACAATCGGTACACTCAGTTGGAAATTTCCAAGAGACTCCAGACTGAAGTCACTACAAATTAGAGCAGCAGGCAGGAGATTTGGGGTCTGACTTAATGAATATCAGAAAAACACAGAATCCAATAAAGGCAAAAAAATCACTAGATTGGAGCAAAAACATTCTCAGTCTGAGATCCATAAACCAGCACTGACCATTCTACACAGAAAAATCATATCATTGGTAGGTTAAATTCCAAAATAATTGACAGAGAAAACAACCTATTCAGGTGGCTGGTTAAGGAAGCCACCTGGATATGCCACAGCAAGCCAGTTCTTATCACGGACTCGTACACAGCTAGGATCAAGTGTTAAACAAAGCACAGTCAAATAGACTACAGTTATTATTACCATTATGTTGGTTTTTTTTCTATAATCTGTTTATAATCTTGTCACACTGTTTTTGCCCTTAGTGTACATAGTAATAAAGTACAGTCAAAAAGTTGGTTGATTCCTCACCATCTTGTACACAACGTGCGTCAGTGCCAGTGGACACTGGTCATTTATCTGATGAAGGTAACAACGTAGTCATTGAAAAATCACTCAGACCTTCTACTGGTTGTGTTATAAAAACGCCTATTCTATTGACATTAACAGAAGAAAATATTCATAAACATCAGCCACAAGTTTTGATGTTTTTACTTCATTGTTAGTCGGGACAGTTTGTATCTAAGGAAGGTGCGGGAATGAACCTCCCTGTGCTGTAGTGTTATTTTAATTGCTCTTGATGTCATGCAATGGGCCTCCTGTATATCATTCAGTGAGGTAGCCCCCAGCACGGAGACCTCACCATAAAATGTTTACAGGGTGATAAAACCCAGCAAAGAAATATGTTTGAACAGAGGATAAAACATCATATTAATGATATAAGTTTAATCTATGATTGACATCCTTCTGAAAAATCCATTTCAAGGAAAATAATGTAATTTGATTCAGTTGATATTGTATGACATACAGCCTTAATAATACACTATTTGTTCTCTCTATATTTTGTAATTTTGTGTGATTTAAGCATTTTTGTTAAAACCGCAGCTTTTCTGTTTCAGGAGTAAACTGTATTTAGAAATACCTTGTTTATTTACATATAAAGTGTACATACAAGATTTGCGTGTGAACATATATGTGTACTGTTTGATACATTGTATTACATATGCTCGTTCCACATTTAAACTAAAGGTACCCCCTTGATGTCGTTAGGAGGAGAGTCCAGTTGTCAAAAATGCTGCCGGAGTCCCACAAGTACAGGAGGTAAAGGCTATCACATGATCATGAACTCCACTAAAGCTACTAATGGGGCACTATTCAATCTTAATTCAGTATCACATTTTTGTCAGGACAGCTCAATGGTGAACTTTTGCATCCACAATAATTGTTGTATAAAAATATACAAAAAATGTGATTAGCCCAATCATGTTTTAGAGCAATCCTTTCAGCAGGAAAAGTTCTAAAATGAGATATCTGATAAAATATGTACTTTACAGTGTTTCCTTGCCAAGAATATGCATTGTCATTACATGTCAAACTTTAGAATAAAGCATTGCAGAGGAATTATGTCTGCACTGAATGGTGTACTTGCTTTATGGAGCAGAACCTCCTGACTAAATACAGTTACAGAGTTATCGCCCCTACCCTAGTCTGTCACTGATGATTTATCTTATTTACCATGTAATTTTTTTTTAAGAAAAAAAAAGGTTTATGTAAAAAAGAATGTGTATGCTTTTATTGACTGGATAAATCTCTGTTGTGTTGGAAAAATTTACCATGTACTAATAACACTGTCGCACAATGTTATATGATTAATTTGTAAGGAGGGTCAGGTAATGCAATGGTAATATACACAAGTTAGATTTCGACAACTGGACTTTAAAGTGAAAGGGAAGGGGAGATAACCTTTCCAAATCCATCATGTGTTCCTAAATACGTCAGTTTTCTCCCACAGTCATGTCTCTTTCATGTTTTTATGCGGGCCAACAAAAGTTATTAATAATATTTGAGGGTTTGTTTTTTAAGTGTTGTACAATTAAATTTATTTATTTGCTTGAACAGGAGATGGTACCAGATACTAATCATGGTGTACAAAGAAGATGGTGTGTTTCGAGGACTGTACCGAGGAATGAGTATAAACTATATGAGAGGTGTACCAATGTATGCTGTATCATTCTCGATGAATGAAACTTTGAAGGAGAAGCTTGGACTGGACACAAGCTCTTGACAGGAAGACAGTATTAGATATTCCATGTTTGTTCAAGCAGTGTATTTTTGACTAAAACTTTTTTTATGTAGCAAAATTTATAGTTAAATATTTGACAGTTTATTGATCTGAAGAAAGGTACATGATTCACGGCCAATATTATTGATATCTGTGTCTTTACCAAGACCCAAGACAGGATTTTAAGTTAAGCTAGATGCCTGGAAAAACATACAACATATTTTATTTTAAATAAAAAATCTTTTACAATTACGGTACTGTATTGGTTATAAAACTCCAAATTAAAAATCCCCATAAAATGAATTCATTTTGGGATTTTGAATTTAATTTTCTATCTAGTTCTCCTTTGTTGCACTTAGATACTGGCCAGTCTATGACGTGTGTGATTTGTGCATTGTGTATTATACCAGGCTGTAGTAAATATATTTGTATTTTGATGCATGTACTATAGAGTTTGTGTCTGCTAATACAGTACATTTTTCTTCGAGACAGCATTCAGACTGACACTCAGCAGCTATGTACAGGCAGAATTAATCTTTCGTGTATAAATTTGTTAAGATAAGTAACTCAGCATTCATTTCATGGAACCCAGTCTCTCAGAAATTCTGCAAGTATTTCTGTTGGAAGGAACATCTGAAAAAAAAAAAATCTTTCAACAAAGATACTACTGTAGCAGTACTTTCTGATATAGTAACATTATTAATCCTTCCTAAAAGTGGGTCAAGACTGAACTGTACATGTATTATCAAAAGTTTGAATCATTGATCATTTATGATCATCAAAAATGCTTATTGAAGCATCTGAATAACATTGAAATATGTATGGTGCAAGTTTTTGTAAAGTTTAAGTTAAATTTTTTCACTTTTGTCAAATCTTTTTATCCAATGACAATGTTATAGAGTTGAGTACCCATTGTCAGATCTGCTGTCATAGTTATTATCTCACTGTAAAATTTTTTATCTTCAAACTAGAAATGACCAGTTTTAGATTTGCAATTTTAATAGGAACTGAAAATTATTTTGTTTTAGTGTACATTAATAACATTCAAACAATATGGCTGTGGTTTTAATCGCAATTACAGACATACCCATTAATCATTATTTATTTGTGGTACGAAGGAAACAGTGACATTCATGAAAGAAATGCAATGAATCATCATGATATCTGCTGACTGATGTAAAGCTCTGGTATCTGCTAATCAATTTGATAAAAACATCTCAAGTTTTCCATATTGACTTATAGTTACACCCCAGACTCAAGGCAGTACACATATACTCTTTGCCTTTATGATAGATATGCTTAAATACACTGTACATTGTTTTATTTTCATGAGCTCAAACTTTAATTGCTTTCAAATGGCATTTTCTTCTAGTGATATATTTCTATTCTTCATCTGATATAAAAAATATGTTTCTCATTGTATTTTGTGTGAAAACAAAAATCAAATGTTGATTGTGTTGAACTTGAGGAGACAACAGCATTACATAAAGAAATAGAGAATGCTTGAAATTCCATAAAAAGTTGCTATGTACCTGGTAACAGGTCTGGGCTTTTTAAAGAATTGAAACTGTGTAAAAAATCATTTTCTCCAAGTAATTTTAGCATAAATGTGATTTTATGAAGTGAATGAGTATTGTAAACATGCTTTTCTCATTGGAAGTTTTATGGAATGCAACGTGTTTCACACTGTATATGGTATGCTGTAAATGAACACTATTTCGAGAATGGATTATTTTCAAATTTCATATGTAGGTTCCTCTTGGTCCCTAGCAGTTAATCATCCTATTTTGGGACTGATCCCAAAAACAAAGTTGTCGAGAGGTGGCCATTTTGGATTTTGACAGCATTGTTGTTGTTGTCATCTTCAGATGTACACAGTCCATTTTGAGACTGATTGAAAAAGCAAGAAGCAAGATGATGTCCATGGCTCGTCATCCATCGGTTAACATTTCTTTGTTATGGCTATTTTTTGAAAAGTACTGGATATCACTTGGTCCCAAGTTACGCTCCACCCCTCCAAAATGAAGATGCAACAATGTCAGGGGCACTCTTGTATAAAAACAGTAAAAAACAATTGTTTCTACATATGATTTATAGGATAATTCTCCTGTATCTATTTTAGGAATTAATACTGGAGGAATTTTGTAGGTATTTAAACATTTTTAAAGGGTTTGAGAAACTATAATTAATAAATGTAGATCTATTTATATGGGAGTCGAAATATCACAATAAATATGTATGTTTACAATACAGTATTGAAATGTTTTGAAGTGTTCATGTGTAGCATTAAATGATTTTGATTGAATGTATGAATACATTGTTATTAATATATATGGAATGTCACAGTCAAAACATTCCTAATCCACTGTGTACATGCTTTACTATGAAATTAATTATCGTTTTCATTTCAAGCTCACTTGGCCCAAAGGGCAAAGTGAGCTTATGCTGTGGTGCAACATCCGTCATCCATCCGGCATCAACTCTTCATTTCAGATAACTTTTTCTCGATAAAGGAACAGCTTAAGGTACTTTTACTGGGCCTGTAACATGCTGGGATGGAGGGCTACCAAGTTTGTTTCAATGAATTACCTTGACCCACTTTCAAGGTCACAGGGGTCAAATGTGTTTAAAATCTTCCAATGACTTCTTTTCAGAAAGGAAGAGGGTGAGGGTATTGATATTAGGCATGCAGAATGCTGAGATGAAGGGCTACAAGGTTTGTTCAAATTAATGACCTTGACCCTCTTTCAAGGTCACAGGGGTCAAATATGTGTTAAAGACTTGAAAGAACTTCTCAATAACCAAAGACCCAGGGTACTGATGTTAGGTCTTGGCCTACTTTCGAGGTCACATGGGTCAAATGTACAAAAGTCCTCTAACTTCTTCTTTTCATTAGCTGAAAGGCCAAGGGTACTGATATTAGACCTGTGCCATTCTGGGATGAAGTGCTTCAAAGTTTGTTCAAATGAATGACCTTGACCCACTTTCAAGATTATTTTTTTCAATCTACTCAATTCTCCACCTTATAATAAACATCTCAATGCTGTGCTGACAGTGTCAATTTAAAAAATCATTACAGTATTACTTGTTCCAATGAATGATCTTGTCCATCTGCATAGAATGTCAAGTGGGTTCAAAACATTTATAACTTATAACCACAATACCTTAGATATTGAAGTTTCATAAAAAATATGCTGATAAGATGGCTTACGAGTTTGTTCAACTGCATAACCTTCTTAAACTTTCAACATAAAGAGGTAAACTGTTTTAAATTCTTAACAGGTTGTTGAAACTTGTTCAGCCACCTTTTAATGTTATGCAACTTAATGTCAATTAACAATCAGTTGAGTGATGCAGGCCTGTTGGGCCTCTTGTTATTAATTTTTCTTGGTGTATGCTATTTTAGATATAAATGTACATAATTGTTGAGGAAGAGATGATTTTAATTTATTGTTTTACATGTGTCTGTGTGTCTGTGTAGGTGTGTATGATTATGATGAGCAATGCTTAGTCATTCAGTCAGAAGAAGGACAATTTATTTTTCGATTTACCATACTCTGGAACACCTGCCCTAACTCTCCACTAGAAACTTATGATGTCTAAACATAGAGTGTCCAGTTTTGATAGACTGAATTTTAAAAAAAATATTGCTTGTTTTCAATTAGTACACATAAAAAAGTTTGTTTGCATAAATTATACAGGAATGAAATACTATTGGTATGGCAGAAAACTATGAAACTGCATTTGGAGCACTGCTTAATAATGTCAAGGTGCATTTGTTTGTCACTGAATACATTCTCTTCCACATAACATAGTTTGCTCCAACTGAAAATACAAATGTATTGAAACATCACAAGATTTCTAGGTAGATAATGAATGTCTCGTGTGACAGGTATATAGAGTTTCATACACTGATCACACTTGGACCAGACAAAGGATGAGAGGATATATTCATTAAACAAATAACAGTGGAAAACACTTTGAATTCTGTTGTATAGGACTACTGTATTGTAATAGTTGTGGTATTTCACAATCAAGACAGCTGATGAAGATCATGCAATGATTTTTTTAACCAAAGACATTAACTTCCCCAATGTAGTTCATGGTATTTTCTAGTTTGAGTTATTTGTAGAAAAATAAACAGAAACAATGCGATTCTATCTGACCCTCGCCTTTGTTTTTTGACTTGAAACTATTTTGTTGTCTGTGTGATATAGAGTAAAATTTTATTAAGGGCTATTCCAGCAAAAACATCTATCTACTGAGTTCTGGGGTCAAGTAGATGTTTTAATGGAATAGCCTTGGCTATAGTTAGGTATTTAGCAGTGAGCAACATGTAGTTTAGACAGATTTACATAGATTTAGGATTTCAGAGTTTTTATTACTTTTCTTTTTGCCGAGATTTATTCTTCCGTAGAACATAAAATGGAAAAAAAATGAAGTACTGATATTTGTAGTTGGGGAATCTAATTCTATATCAGAGTACTTCAATATCTCATTACATATACTGGTAAGTGGGGCCAGAGTTAAATAGCTTACATATCTGTAGGACAACTCAGTTTTATCCAAAAGTTGACCTTCCTTCTGCACAGCAAATATAAAGGTAAAGAAAGCTTATTGGCTGGTCAAGAATGTATGATATTTTATGTAATGGCATAAGTGATATGGTAGACAATACTTTATGACTGAAGTGTTAGCTTTGATTTTATGATCACCTCATCCTCAAAGCTGTTTTCATAATTTGAAGATTTTCTTTTGTATTTGGTTTTATATTTGCAGTGTTTGTGGTTTTTATAATCTATAGCACTATATCCGTAATGTTTTGAACTTTTGCTTAAAATGAAGCTCAGCAAATACTTTTAATTTCATGTTTTTGTATAATGGAAATGGCATTTTAATTTACTCAGTTTGTGACTGAAAATGACTTTCACCTGTATTCATGACTAAAGAGGTTATATTTTTTTGATACCTGAACAACCTCTTCTAAAGAACCGTAAGGCCAAAACTGATGATATTTGGAATTTGGCCAGTAGCTTGCTTACATTGACTGCTATTAATTTACTTTTTCCCTCAAACTTTTTACATATTATACATTCATGAATGGTTTAACATTATAGGTAACAAAATGAACAAGTAGGAATAAGGTCGGCTTGATATATTGATGGAATCCATGAAGTGATAATAACATACATAATGAAAATTATTAACAATAACAGAAATATTGTCATAGATTTTGTGGGGCTCTATTTTTGTGGTTTTATTTAAATCACTATATAATAGACACTTTGATTAATCATGAAAAATAAACCCTTCACAAAACCAATGATTTTACAGGAGATTGAATGTAAACATTATTTGTGATATCCACTTTCTATGTATTGAAGTTTCAGCATCTGTATCATGGTAACTCTTGTTCTTAATGTTGTCTATTTATTGGAAAGCTAACTTAAACCATTTCATATTGTCTTTTTCTCATGTATACTACAGTACTGAGGTTGCCAGTTAGTAAACTGCTCACATTTGACAAAGCTGAAAAAAATTTACATATATTTATGTTCTATGAGAATATTGAATTTGTGTGTATAAGTCAGTTATTGACAGTGTTGTAGATCCATTTTATTGCCAATACACCTTAGCTTCATAATTCAATATTTATAATCTGTGTAACTTCTCCAAGCCTCGAGGACCATTTCATATTTCCTAAGTGATAATTGTGTAATTCCCTCTCTCCTTTGTTTTTGTTAAATTTGTCCTTACACTGATTTTCCGCATGTGATCCAACACAAAAATGAATTAACATCATAACCATTGCTGCCCA